TCCATTTCTACCCCATATGTTAAAACAAGATCCAGAGTGCAGGTGGGTTCTTTTATATTTTAAGAAAGCCAATTGAGTCTAACAACAGATTAAATGTTGAGTTGAGGCTGTCATTTTTAGCATCTACATGGATGTTAAAATCACCCACAAAAATTATTTTATCTGAGCTGAGCACTAAATCAGATAAAAAAATCAGTGAGAAACTGTGTAAAGCCCAGGTGGATGATAGATGATCACAAATAACACTGGATTTTGAGTTTTGCAGCTAGAGTGAACAAGGCTGAGCATCAGGCTTTCAAATGAATTAAAAGTCTGTCTTGGTCTTTGTAAAGTAAAGTAACATTTTATTTGTATATTAGTTTTCAAAATAAAAATCACAAAGTGCTTCACAGAAAAACTAAAACATTAAAACAAAAATCAACCAAAAGCAAGTTTAAAAAAAGATGTGTTTTTAGTAGGGGTGGGACTCAATTTAAAAAAAAAATCTAATTAATTAGAGGCTTTGTAATTAATCGAATTTAATCGCACAAGAAAATTTCCCCCTAAGTGTAAATGTTTTTTGTTTTATTTAAAAGGGTGGGCGACAGAATTAAATAATAGCGATGGAAATAAATACTGTAAACTCTAACTCTTTTAATTTATGGGGGGGAAAGCATTTAAACAGCATTTCAATTCAAAACAGAGAAACAAAAATAATATCCCTGGCCAAAATTGGGCAGACTTAAACACAAAATGCTGTTTTAAGTACCTTATGTACATTTTCAAAATGGTATTGTTTTTAAATAATAATAATAATAAAAAATTCAACATAAAGTGCAGTTTTTCTTCTTAAAAATAGGGCAGAAAAATAAAAGGTTATTTGACCTGCTTCACCTTTAAACTCTGAGTAACCTTAGCCAATATTATTTTGTACATTAGGCTAAAATAGTTTGATCATCAAAACTTTTAGTGCAAAAAATAACAAACCCGTTGGACTCACAATACCTCCATGCTTATTTACTGTCCATCTCTTTCAGCCAGTTACTTAGACAAACTAGCCTTTTCTTATTTTCAGAGCTCAAGGTGCTTTCTTTTTTTGTTACTATGTGACCTGCAAGTGAGAACAGTTTCTCACATGGGACAGAAGTGGCAGGACTAATCAAATATTTGCGGGCCAGGACAGACAGCTGAAGGTGGGTCCCTGCTTGACTGGACCACCACTGCACCAGGCAGTCTTTCTCGCTGATGGTGGATTCTGCTCTTTTTTTTTTTTTTTTTTGCTCTTTACAAACTCAGGGCCCTGTTACACATGGCTTCCTAATCTGAATCAGAGTCTGAAGACAATGAAGAGAAGATGAAGAACCTTGTCTTTGCTGGCTCCTTTGTGCTGGCATTTTTACACTGTTCCTGCAGCAGGGCCTCAAGGCTGGTCCAAACCTCTTCTCACTCTCCCCTTGCAAAGCACTTTAAATCCTTAAAGTGTGGGTCAAGCACAGTAGCTATCTTGAGCCACTGGTTGTTTGAGTGTAGCTACATGTTGGATAGGTCCTCTGAACATGAGACATATGTCTCACCTCTAAGAAGCTCAGTCACAAACCTGTAGTAGACAGTTCAAGAAAGTAATTTTTACAAACTTTCAAATCTAGAACTTTTTGAAGAAACTGTAACAATACGTTAAAAGAGAGTTTATTTACCTGCATGGCTCAAGGACAGTTGCCAGCTCGTGGAGTTTTACAAGCTCTGATGGAGTTAAAATGACTAGTTTGTGATCAGCAAAAACAGCCTCTTGATTCTTCAGTAGACGCGAAACCATATCCAGCATTGAATTCCACCATGTGGAAACATCCTGTATGAGTGGCTCTTTCTGTTGCCCCAGTCTTGTTTGCTCTTTGTGTAGTTAATCCATAGTAGCAGGGCTGTCTGTGATGAAAGAAATGTTCTTGCTTTTCAGTGTCATAAAGCTGTTGAATTTTACTTGAAATAGTCTTTGGAAAGTTGGATCACCTGACGCTAATTGTAGGACATTTTTTAACCCCCTATCTTCTACCACTGATAGTGGTCTACAGTCCAGAGCAATCAATTTTGCAAGAGAATTTGTAAGTTTGTCCGATGTTGACTTACTAATTTTGGTCCGTAAGCCAGTCATTTCATCAAGTTTGGGATGCCGACACCTTTTGTTGGTACTTGGTGATTGGTGTTAGAGCTAAAAGCTCCCACAGTTTTTGTGCTCACTGCAACATGTTTTGCATTAAGATGGCACCATAAGGTTGAAGTGCTTTGGTGGTATGCAAACTCCTTTTTTCACAGTTTGCACAAAACAACACTTTTATCGAGGCTTTGCTCAGGTAGTCTTTTGAAATGAAAATTGCCTCCGATAAGTCCTAGTAATGCGCTTTCTTCTGATTCTTTGTAGCGATGATGTGTAAATCAGTGCAATCGGTATACAAGGAAATCGTGCATTAACAAAAGTTCTCCTTTGCTTGGAATCCAAAGTGCAATTAAATGCTTTTTTTTAATGCATTTTTTTTTTTAAATTAATACATGCAATTAATGAGTTAAAGTCCCATCCCTAGTTTTTAGTGTTTTTTTTTTAAAGACACCACTGAGTCCACAGATCTCAAGCTCAAAGGCAGAGAGTTCCAGAATTTGGGGGCCACTGTTACTAAAGCTCAGTCACTTTTCAGCCTAGTATGATGGACAACCAGCAAGCCGTGATCACATGGCCTCAGGGACCTGCTGGGGATGTATGGATGTAAAAGATCTCTGACGTATGTTGGTGCTTGTCCATGCGGAGCTCCAAATGTCAAGCTGGATCAGCAGGAGTATGACATGCGAGTAACTGGAAGACTTGGTCAGAAGCCTTGCAACAGCATTCTGAACAACCTCATGGTTTGGTTGATTAATAGGCTGGTGTGAAAAGTTGCTGCTACACCGACCCTCGGCCTGTGCTTTGAGAATTCTGATAGTTAGTATGACTCAGGGGTGTTGATTCATTTAAACTAACATAATCATCCTGCTGTAGCAAGGTTTCTGTAAGGCAGAGTAAATCAATTTGTTGATCAATTATTAACTCATGTACTAACAGAGACTTGGAAGTGAGAGACCTAATGTTTAATTTCACTTTTTTACTCTTTGGTATAGATTTGGATAGTGAATTGTTCTTTCTTTGTGATTTTTTAAGTCGTAGTAGTTAGTTAAAGTTGTTTTTTGCTGGTTTTAAGTTTGTTTATTGTCCGATTGGGAACTGACACAGTCTCTGGAGTTTTGGGGGGATGACAGGAGGAGAGAAGCTGCAGAGAGGCGTGTAAGACTGCAACTCTGCTTCTTGGTCCTAACTCTGGGTAGACATGTCCTTCTCTCCCCATCCCCAGTTGCCTCCCTCCTCCCACCTCATCTCTGGTACCGGTGCCCACTTCTCAATTTTAAATACATGTAGACGTTGAGGGCTCTGAAGGGGCCGTGCTGACACCAGCTGCTATCTGGCAGAGAGTCATTGGTACCATGCCCTTCCCATATTTTAAATGCACTTTAGAACAGCACACTGGAACACCACATATGAGCAGGTAGAATGAGTTATGGGGTCTTCACACCCCTGTTCTCTGTTTGCCATCTGGGGCATGGGGGCCTTTACTTAAACGTAAAAAATAAAATAAAATAAAGAAAGAAATAATAAAGAAACTATGACAATCAAGTGGACCAGTATGGAAAAAGCTGTAATGATCCACTTAGGAAAGTAAATCGGTTGGGCATTTTTCTTTGCCATCAGACAGTAATTCTGATTCCTACAGTGCAGGACAGGACAGGCCAAAAAAAGAATAAATGACAGTATTCACTGATTAAAGTGTTCTTATCAAAGAGTTGAGCATTTGTGAAGGAAAAGTTATTTACATATTTATCTCCTGATCTTTATTTTTTTTTATTTTTTCTTTCAACAATTCAGTTAGAAATGCCACAGCTGTCTATTATTCAAACCTTGTTACAAAGATTAAGGGTAATCGTAAGGTCTTACTTGACAGAATTACTGATATTGTTACCCCTGTGCTACCTGCTGTCTCAGTGTGTTAAAATGAACATTAAGATATTCTTGTTTCTTTATAAGCAGAAAAAAATCAGTGATGTTTGATGCTAAAGAAAAAATGTTTTTCCTTTAGCATCTTTGTTGGCTGTTCCTGCTCCAGTTTGACATGTTATATTAATTTTTTTTTATCTGTTTCTTAAACTGAGCTGGTTAAATTAGTTGACTCAGTGAAAGCATCCTTCTGCTCGCTTGATGTTTAACACATCTCTGTCCAAAAATCTCTTTCGGTCTATATGTGTCCATGTGCTGACTATAATTAAAACATAACTGGTCTCTGGTCAAGGTCCTACTTATTTTAAGGCTGTCATCCAACCACTTACATAAAGAAATAGCTGAAGTTTGTTTTGTGCTGGTAATGGAAGATCTTGGTCTCCTTGCCACATTTGCTAACTCTTAAAGCAGGATCTGCTGGCTAGACATCATAAGAAGCTGAAAACTAAAGGACAAAGAGCTTTTGAAACCTCTAGACTCTGGGCTGTCCCTGTCTAAGATGAAGATCTCTGAATTTGGTGGTCTCTTTTTTAAGACTTGCATTTGGTTAACTTTTCTTTTCATGTTCTGGAATTAATTGTGAAGCATTTTGTGAGATTTATTTTGAAAGGTGCTATTAAATAACATTTTATTTACTTACTTGCCACGTTGGATCAACCACAAGACTATTAATTCTTCCTTTATATTGACTAAAAAATATAAAATTTAAATTAACAAAACAAAAACACACAAAAGAGCTGAGTCCTTGTTGATAACTAATTAACTTGCAGTGTTATCGAGGTCTACCTGCATACAAACGTAATCTCAAATGACATGTCCTTTAGGTCCTGCCACTGCTCCTTGTTTTTCCCTTATGGGTGGTATGCAAAATTAGTCAACACAGCATGTCAATAAAAGGGAATGGCAAAACAATAAAACCTGACGACTAGACTCAGAAAGTCAGAAAGCTGTCATGTGGTCATTATTACAAACCAACTTGCTCTTATTCATTTTGCTGTATTCCTATTTTTCTTCTGCTGTAGCCTCTTCTCTGTTTCCCTCCTCCTGTCAGTTACAGAGACAATTTCATCTAAATGGCATGCACAAGAGTGGAGATGTCATTCTGGGTGGATTGTTTCAAGTCCACTTTTTTTCAAGCGTTGCTGACCTGTCTTTTACCTCACAGCCACAACAGCCTACTTGCCATGGGTAAGTATGTCAGGGAAAAAAGTGAAAACGAAAGCGAAAATCTATTATTGATATGCATCTTATATCTAGTACTCTCTGCATTAATACATTTGAAAAAATGCCTTGTCTGGAATGAAACATCTTCTTTGTATTTTTTTTGTCATTAAAAATCCCTTTAATTGTGGTTTATAACAGTATTTGTGTAACATGTTTTCCAAGTATACTGTTGTATTTTTCTTTGTTAGTTTTTATGAACTAGGATTTAGGCAGGCACAAACCATGGCCTTTGCTATTGATGAGATCAACAGAAACTCCAACCTGCTGCCAAATGTCACTCTTGGATATACTCTTTATGATAACTGTGTCACACTTGGAATTGGATTCCGTGCAGCATTGTCATTAGCCAGTGGTCAAGAGGAAAACATTATATTAGATAATAGATGTACTGGAAATCTTCCAGTCATAGGGATTGTGGGTGATTCTTCCTCTACACATTCTATTGCCATTTCCAACGTCTTAGGTTTGTACAGAGTACCCATGGTAAGTGGTCTTCTTAATCTTGTAATAGATACCTTGTATTATTTTGATTTCATAGCAAATATAAAGCCACTTAATAATAGAGCTAACATGATAAAAATAATAAAGGAGTACAGACTTTGGATATTTATACATAATGTGTATTTTTCACAGGTGAGTTATTTTGCCACTTGTTCCTGCCTAACTGACCGTCAAAAGTATCCATCCTTCTTTAGAACAATACCAAGTGATGCTTTCCAGGTCAGGAGCACAATTTCACATTTGTCACTAAATTATTAATGCAACAACAGAAGTATTTTCAGGAATAAAATACCTGTTTTTTAACAGAATGTATAATGATGTAAAAAACTAAAAAATTCTACCTGTGTGCTGTGGAAGTTGATCTGCAAATACTGGTATGAAAGATTTGTTTGTCTTTGCGCTCACCCTTTAATTTGTATTTACATAGGTACGTGCTATGATTCAGATTCTAAAACACTTTGGCTGGACTTGGGCAGGTCTTCTTGTCAGTGATGATGATTACGGACTTCACGCAGCCAGATCTTTGCAATCTGATCTCAGTCTGTCGGGTGAAGGATGCCTGGCTTACTTCGAGATTTTACCCTGGGACAAAGACATGGATGAACTCAGGAGGATTGTGAATGTGATGAAAATGTCCTCAGCTCGAGTTGTCATTGTCTTTGCACATCATAGTCGCATAGTAAACCTTATGGAAGAGGTTTGGGTTTAAAACAATTTAATTATTACTAGTTGCAAGAATAAAAATCATTAGACTGTGCAAAACATGTTTTATATGTCTGTGTGAATGTGTAGTAAAAACTAGTCATGTAGAATTAATTTGCATCATGAGCATCTACTGCATCTACTGTAATATTATGTCACTAAAGTAGTTTTGAGCTACAATATCACATTACAGATTTTGTATAATACAATGCACAGGTAGTGAGGCAAAATCTAACTGGCCTACAGTGGATGGCCAGTGAAGCCTGGACAGAAGCTACTGTGCTCCAAACACCTCAGCTCATGCCATATCTGGGTGGAACACTGGGTATTGCAATTCGTCGAGGAGAAATACCAGGGCTCAGGGAATTCCTCTTACAAATACGTCCTGACCTACATCACAATAACAGCTATGGAAATAGCATGGTGAGACCTGAACTCTTTCTTATCATATGTCCAAGATGTATATATTTTTATTATTTGTAAAAATAATTTTCAATAAATTTCAGGTGAATCAGTTTTGGGAATTCACATTTAAGTGCAGATTTGCACCAGCTCCAACAGGCTGGGTAGAAGGTAGAGGTACATTATGCACTGGAGAGGAAGATCTGGACCATGTGGACTCTGAGTTTTTGGATATTTCCAACCTCCGGCCAGAATACAATGTGTACAAAGCTGTATATGCTTTAGCATATTCCCTTGATGACATGTTACGGTGCAAGCCAGGAAGAGGACCTTTCCGTGGCCACAGCTGTGCCACATTGCAAACATTGGAACCGTGGCAGGTTTGATATCAAATTGCACTCCATTAAATGAGAAGATCTTTTGCCCTATAATTACTTTCAGAACAGAATGCACACAGTAGAGTAAATACGAAAGACAAACCATGAAAAAGTTTGAATGAGCTAAAAAGATGTTTTCATCCTTCTGAACTGGAGTAATGGTTAATATATTTAGATCTGAGAGATCATAAACCAGTAGGCATATACAGCAGTATTAGTGATGTGCGATCTTTGAATTTGAGTTAGATTGTAATAATTTTATATGTTTGTATAAATCCAATTTAATGTTATATTTGATTATTTAATACCAGGTGCCACTGTTTGCACTATGAAAAATAATTTATTTATTATAAATCCCTTTTTAACAGCTTATTTATTATTTGGAAATGGTCAATTTTACCACTCCATTTGGTGATCAAGTGTCATTTGATGAGAATGGTGATGTGGTGCCAATTTATGATGTGATGAACTGGTTGTGGCTCCCTGATGGAAACATTAAAATTCAAACTGTGGGTGAGGTTAAGAGGTCTGCTTTCAAAGGTGAAGAACTCATACTTGATGAAGACAAAATCTTCTGGAACTTTGAATCCAAAAAGGTTAGATATGGTTTTTAGACTTTTATATTTTGGCACATATATGTATTACATAATATATGTAATTCTGGCAGGTAATATTTAATTTCATCCTATAGCCACCTCGATCAGTATGTAGTGAGAGCTGTCCTCCTGGTACCCACATGGTGAGAAAGAAGGAGGAACCCAAATGCTGTTTTGACTGCATCCCTTGTTCTGAGGGAAAAACCACTAACAAGAGCAGTGAGTTTTTATCTTTTACCGCTGCATATTTAATTAGATTCATATTAAACATAGTATGTATGATACCATCTTCCCCCTTTTTGTAGATTCCTTGGAGTGCACCAATTGTCCAGAGGATTTTTGGTCAAACCCCCAGCGTGATCACTGTGTTCCCAAGAAGACCGAGTTCCTCTCCTACCATGAGCCTCTGGGTATTTGCTTGACAGCAATTTCACTGCTGGGAACATTTATATGTGTTATTGTTCTAGGAATCTTTTTCTACCATCGCAGAACACCTATAATACGTGCCAACAATTCAGAACTTAGTTTTCAGCTATTGCTGTCACTCAAGTTGTGTTTCCTTTGTTCACTGCTGTTCATTGGACGACCTAGGCTATGGACATGCCAACTCAGGCATGCAGCATTTGGGATCAGCTTTGTGCTGTGTGTCTCATGCATCCTGGTAAAAACCATGGTAGTTCTGGCTGTGTTCAAAGCCTCCAAGCCAGGAGGGGGAACCAGTCTGAAGTGGTTTGGTGCTATGCAGCAGAGAGGAACAGTTCTGTTTCTTACAGCTATTCAAGCAGCCATCTGCACTACCTGGCTTGTTTCTTCCTCTCCAACTCCACATAAAAACACCCAATACCACAATGATAAAATCATTTATGAGTGTGCAGTTGGGTCAACTGTTGGTTTTGCAGTGTTATTGGGCTATATTGGGATGCTAGCTTTCCTCAGTTTTCTAATTGCATTCCTGGTGAGGAATCTCCCTGATAGTTTTAATGAGGCCAAGCTCATCACATTCAGCATGCTGATCTTCTGTGCTGTGTGGGTGGCCTTTGTTCCTGTTTATATCAGCTCACCAGGAAATTATGCAGATGCAGTGGAGGTATTTGCCATCTTGGCCTCAAGTTTTGGACTCTTGGTCACATTGTTTGGACCCAAATGTTACATAATCCTGTTGAGACCAGAGTTGAACACAAAGAAAGCTATAATGGCTCGCCGCAATGGAACACAGATTTTTCATATACAGTAGAAAACGTCCAGATTTTTTTTTTTATTTAAGCTTATACGCAACTAAAAAAAATACATTGTCTAAATGAACAAAGCAATAAATATGGTTTCATACTGTTATGTTATATTCCAGGGTATTTGGTCTTTCTGGAACTGATGTTCACTGAGAAACATATAGTGGGGCAAAACCGTATTTAGTCAGCCACCAATTGTGCAAGTTCTCCCACTTAAAAAGATGAGAGAGGCCTGTAATGTTCATTATAGGTATAGCTCAACTCCCTCCAGCTTTAGACAACAACAACAAGAACCCCCCCCTCCCCTTCCCGCACACACTAACTCACTTCTTCCTGCATCACAACCAAACATGTATCTTAAAGAAACAACAACAGTGCACAGAGGTAGCCAACCTAACCTGGGGTGGCTGTAGCTCAGGTGGCAGAGCAGGTCAGCCACTAATCAAAAGGTCAGTGGTTCGATCCCAGGCTGCCTCCTGGCTGCATGTCAAATATCCTTGGGCAAGATGCTAACCCCACGTTTGCCTACTGGTGGTGGTCAGAGGGCCTGGTGGTGCCAGTGTCCAGCAGCCTCGCCTCTGTCAGTGCACCCCAGGGCAGCTGTGGCTACAATGTAGCTTGCCATTGCCAGTGTGTGAATGACTGAATGTAGTGTAAAGCGCTTTGGGGTCCTTAGGGATTGAGTAAAGCGCTATACAAATGCAGGCCATTTACCATTTTTTTCTAACACAGTAAAATAACCTTTAACCATCATTACAGTGTGTATACTAATTTGCTAAAACATAAGCTCTGCTGAAACATAAAGTCTGCTCCAATTTCAATGTACAATGCCCAACTACAGCTACAATAAAGGAATCTTTATCTTTCATGATATAAATTATTAAATAACTAAGGATTTAGGATTAAGATTTAAGAATTATAAACTAATTGTCAGGTCTGGGATGGCAGACCAGGTGGAGTGCAGAAAGAGTGGACCCACATGCAGACAATGGAGACGGAACTGGACCGTAAAGCAAGACTTTTATTTTCGACTGCACAAAATACAAAATAAAGAGAGACTAAGATTAAACTAACAAAAACTAAAATGGGAAAACCTAAACACTAAACACTAGGTACACAGAACGTGACATGTGAGAACATGAAACCTGAAACCCGAGGCCTCTGGCTGGGATGAGGCAGGACCCAATGGTCTAGATGGCGGAGACAGAGCAGACAGGGTAGTCCATGGCAGATGGCGGTGATGTATGGCGTTATTTTTGTGCCACTATTCTGAGCGCACGAAAAAAAAATTGAGGGCACGTAAAAAAAAATTGCAGGTGCAACAGGTGCAAGTGTTGCATTTTGAGGAGAAATTTATTTTGAGCGTACAAAAGCTGAATTTGAGTGAACAAAATTCATTGCTGCGTGCAAAAAACATATTTCAGTGTTTGCGCTTATCCATATATACACACAATAGCACCCCCTCTCGCTCAGTTTCACAACATTCTCTGCTTCGTACGCTCAACTCTCTGTACACCGTTATAAGTGTGCCACAAAACCAACCAATCACAGACTTGGTTTCAAAAATTCTGATTGGCTCTTACGGTCTCCAATCAGCTCGCTAGCTATTGCCTTCCGGACACCAGAAACACTGTCCACTCAGCCTCGCTTCTTGCAGATAGAGGGATTTTTGATTTACTCTGCAGCTAAAGAAGATGATAGGTCTGTAGCTTGAACCTATTCGCTGGAACGTTGAAGACAATATAATTACACTGCAAAGCAAGACACAAGTAGGCAAGGTTCTTCATGTTTACTCATGCATGAGGGAGACCTGGCTGGAGCCAAGCGTCGTTCCACCACTTGACCTCCGTCAGACTCTCAGCCAGGTCCCCCATAGCACTCCTTTTATTGTGGTTACATGAATATGCATAGGGTCATTAACATATAACATCTTACATAGGTATACATGTGAACAAAGAATACTGTGTATGTGTGTGTGTGTGATTTGTGTGAGGTCAAGATGTGACCCTGTGAAGAGTCTAGCGGGTCCATCTGAACAAAAGGCTCTTATACTTAAACAGATATACGTGTGTTTGCTAAACCATATATCAGCAAGAGAAGATACGGCCTCTCCTAGGAGGTGTGTGATCTATGCCAGAACACTCTAGAGAGGAGTGAACGCATTCCCCTCTTCATGCTACACAGAGTTGTTACAGACCTCCTAGGATGAGACATTCTTTCAATCTACAAATGATTATACACCTCTAAGCATATATGGTTAAATATTTCTAAGCATAAATGACAATGAACAATACAAAACCTAACAGAAGAGATGGCAGAATCAAACAATGGCTCCAATAATACTACACCACAGTATCGGGTGAGTTAAAAAAAAAATTTTCTGAATTTTGTAATTTGCTGTCCTTTCTGTTTAATATGCTGTGAAATTGTAGTTACAGATGCAGCTGTAGAGTTTAAGCTAGCCTTATGGGTAATTACCAGCGTAGTTGTCTTACTGAGGCAGTGTATCCTAATCATGCTTTTTAGGGTAATGGTGCAGTTGAGTCAGCAGTAAGAAATCTGGTGTCTTTGCTGCTTAACAACATATCCACAAATCCTTCAGGGAGGCCAACAGAGAGTGGGCAGCCGGAGCCTAGAAATCTGACTATCCAGCAAGAGATGACAAGGTTTTTGCTTGTTTTGTGTGGGGTTTTTTGGGGTTTTTTTTTTTAACTTTTTGCAATCTTTTCTGTTAAAGTTATTTGGTTTGTGGATTTATCAACATTGATTTTTAAATTAAAATGTGCTATTAAGGACTGATGTCATATTTAATAACTTTATTAAACAATAACCCTTATGTTATGCAACACTGCATTTTTTAAACTCATGCATTTTCATCACACAGATCATTTCCAGGATATTTCAAATCACACTTGAGCCGTGGTAAAAAGTGATGTTTAACATCTACTAAGCAGCGTGTTAAGGCAGGCAGTAAGACCACAGGCCTCAGTTTTTATTTGCTGTCAAAAATCAAAAATTACATCCTTACACACCTTTGCCAGCTGAAGAGCTTGAACTCCTACAAGCTGGCATGGGGAGACAAACAGTGTCTCTTCCAGAAGATGGTGACCATGCAGAGGTAAGTTTGTGTCGTCAGTATTAAAATCAGTCATTGGCAGACGCATTTAGCCTGAATCATATGCCACAGTCCATTTAGTGTTCCATTCTGCTTAACTGTGTTTTTAACTAAGATTTCTAGACTTCTGGAAGAAACCTTTGCACCACATGTGCAGGACACCTTAAACTAGTTTTTTAATTAAGCAGCAAGGCAGAACAAGGTCAGGGCTGTATCAAGACACGAGGACTAAACCCCAATTCAACCAGACCCAGAACTGATCCAGAATTAAAACAGGACTACAACAGTTCAAAATCAGGACTACTTGGGATTTAACCAAGACAGAACCAGAATCAGAACTAGATGATACTAGCACTAAAAATCATCATAGACCTGCACTACACTTGTTTTTTTAATTCTACCAAAGTACACTATTTAGATTGAGAAAAGTTGATATAATTATTTAGCCTTGTTGTGCAAACAAGCCTGCATAACTTAATAAATGTAGAATTTGAAAAATAGCAAACCTAAAAAGAAACACTAGGTACGAGATACATGAGGACCTATGATACGGTGATACTTTTGGTAAACAACCATTTGACTAACATGTGTGTCTCACCTGCTCTTGTTCATCTCTGTTCTGTCCTCATTCTCCTCTCTCTCCCTCTTTGTGCTGACAATCATCAAATATACAGGGGAAAACCAGATATTTACATACTCTTCAGATCAAAACACAAACACTTTTTTAATTGTAACATCAAATCAGACTAAATGTTTATTTTTTTAGATTGATAAATATAAAAAACACATTTGTTAACTTTAAGAGTAAAGAGAGAAACTATCTGTATTTCTTAATTGCAAATGGCACCAAATTGTATTCAAACTGAGCCACACTTATGGAGCTCCACAGTTCTGTTCCTGGTGTTTTGGTTGACATCTCTGGATTTTCCCATGTCACAGAAACAGGCTCTGTGTTTTGCCTTATATGCATCCACAGGTGTGCCACCAATTTACTCACATGGACTCTACTAACCTATCAGGAGCTTCTTCAGCTCAGAATGGAATCATCTGGAGTTTCTTATTAATTAACAATAAACTTAGTGTATATGTACTCCTAATTTTGATCAAAGTGATAAAAAATAGACAGCTCTGTCTCTCTTTATTCTGACATTTAACTAATTCAAAATATATTTCAATATTTATCTAAAACAAAAGTTTACTCTAAATTGATGTTTTACAGTAAAAATGTTTTATGTTTTCTCCCTAAAGTGTATGTTGTTTTTTTTTCTTTCTTTTTTGCCTGTCCCGTTTGGCTCTTTTGCCATCAGAATTGTTGTCTAAAGGCAAACTAAAGTATATGTAAATATCTGGTTACAAATGTGAATATCCTGCTGTGTACTGAAATCCCTCTTGTTTTGCATAGAAATATACTGAACAACATACAAAGCATAATATATAAAATAACATTTACCTGAGTTTTTTCTTTGAAAGAAGCCTCTAATGTCCATTCTTATATTTCAGTACATAACTGAAACCGATTTAGTAGGGGAGGGTAACAACTGAAAATATGAAATAAACACACCTAAGCTAAGACTCTCTAAAAAAAATAGCATTTGTTCGGCTTTTCATTTCGCCATTTGTTGATTCACTTGAAGAGCAAGTAACGTAATATTGGTCAAGTGATCAGTTTGATATCAATCTTTCGTGATTCACCGTCATATTTACATTATTTTTACGGTACGAATGATTTGCTTTGGTACCTGGTCAAACTTAAGCTCTCCTTAGTATGGCTGGCTACACCTCACCCCTGGCGTCATTGCCCACCTCTCAATTTTAAATACACGTAGACATTGAGGGCTAGCAGGAGGGACCATGCGCTTACCTGCTGCTCTCTGGCAGGTAGCTCCATGCCCT